TGCCACAAAATGATTCTTTAATAAATCCACGCCTAGAAGGCTGCCACAAAATGATTCTTTAATAAATCCACGCCTAAAAGGCTGCCACAAAATGATTCTTTAATAAATCAACGCCTAGAAGGCTGCCACAAAATGATTCTTTAATAAATCCACGCCTAGAAGGCTGCCACAAAATGATTCTTTAATAAATCCACGCCTAGAAGTCTGCTCGAAAATGATTCTTTAATAAATCCACGCCTAGAAGTCTGCTCGAAAATTATTCTTTAATAAATCCACGCCTAGAAGGCTGCCACAAAATGATTCTTTAATAAATCCACGCCTAGAAGGCTGCCACAAAATGATTCTTTAATAAATTCACGCCTAGAAGTCTACTCGAAAATGATTCTTTGATAAATCCACGCCTAGAAGGCTGCCACAAACTGATTCTTTAATCCACGCCTAGAAGCCCTGCAAAAAATTATTCTTTAATAAATCCACGCCCAGAAGGTTGCTAAAAAATTATTCTTTAATAAATCCACGCCTAGAAGTCAGCTCGAAAATTATTCTTTAATAAATCAACGCCTAGAAGTCTACCAAAAGATTATTCCTTAATAAATCCACGGCTAGAAGCCATCTAAAAAATTACTCCTTAAAAATTCCACGCCTTGAAGGCTGACACAAAATAAGTTTTTAATAAATGACAGTGAAAGAAATGTTCTTTAGAATCCACGCCAAGAAGGCTGCTATAAAAATTAATCTTTAATAAATCCATGCCTAGAAGGCTGCCAAGAAAGTAGTAAAGTCGGACGGGGCCGACTATGTGATACCCTTCACCACTTTGGCTATATTCAAGAAATACATCATTACAGACGTTGAATTTTTGAAGGACCATTGACATGAAAATCGACTAAGTTAAATATGTGATCTGTGTCTATATTTGAACCGACTTAACCTAACGATCAACAACCGGGTAATTTTGTATAAAGTATATATATTCTGATCAGCGTAAAATTCTATGACGATTTATGCAGGTCCGTCTTTCTGTTGTAATCAATCTAGCGACTAAACGTATTGAGATAGATCCCCAAAATGTTTAATAAAGATGACTCTTGTCTGCAGGTCGGAAGATGAGCTTTATTGGTCCACGTACCAAATGTCTCCACTAAAAATTATTAATATCGGACCAATTTTTCGGGTAGCCCCTATATAAGGGTTAACCCAGACCCATTTCGATACGTTGCGCGTAATGTTGTGCCAATCGGACACTCTTTAAAACTATAGTGCACCAATTGCTAAAAATCGGACGAACATATATATGGGAGCTCTATCTAAATCCGAACCGATTTCAATAAAAGTTGGCACACGTTAGTCTATCCTAACTTCGGTACGTTGTGCAAAATGTCATGCCAATCGGCCTAAATTTGACTCTTTGGTGCACTATTTGCTAAAAATCGGAGGAACATATATATTAGAGCTATATTTAAATCTGAACCGATTTCAATAAAACTTGGCACACGTTAGTCTATCCTAACTTCGGTACGTTGTGCAAAATGTCATGCCAATCGGCCTAAATTTGGCTCTTTGGTGCACCATTTGCGAAAAATCGTACGAAGATATATATAGGAGATATATCTAAATCTGAACCGATTTCAATAAAACTTGACATACGTTAGTCTATTCTATCTTCGGACAAAATTTGACTCTTTGGTGCACCATTTGTTAAAAATCGGACGAATATATATTTGGGAGCTATATCTAAATCTGAACCGATTTTTCCCAATTTCAATAGGGTTCGTCCCCGGGTCAAATAAATGTGCTGTGCCAAATTTCATCCAATTCGGATAATAAAGGCGACCAGCACTTATTATCCGAACATGGACAGACAGACGGACGTATGCATGTCCGTCCGTCTGTCCGTCCGTCGACTCAGAAAGTGGTTCTATGCATATTCTCAAAAGGAACCATGTGTCTATCTCGTTTCCTAATGCCTGTTACAAACATATGCACAAAGACATAATACTCTGTACCACTGTGTGTGGTAAAGGGTATAAAAATGTCCAAATTGTTTCCTGGGTTATCCTCTCCATTGCAGAAATTTAAATTCTCTTCAGGTTAATTCCGTAATATACATAAGTTTTCAACACAAAAAAAAATTGTTAAACATTTCTCCTTTACAAATTAATATTAGACATACACAGATATGCAATTAAGTTTTAGCCATCATTCCGCATTCTCCGAAACTCAAAAAATGCCCCCAAAATCCCATTGCGTCCCCCATTGAACTGGGCCAAATCAATTCTCGTCTCTGATTGGCTCTTTAGTCTATGATAAACTCCGCCCTCTGTGGATTTACTGTCCGTAAGTTTTTACCGTTTGCCATGCCAGGCATTGCCAAAAAATGGGGGTTGCCATCTCGTGTGTATGTGCCCTACTACTATCTAATGGTAACTCGAAATAGGGGAGGTTTTCCTCCCCTTTTGTTTGTTGTTTTATTTTTGCCCCTTGTGATTACAAATTAACGAAAAACCCAAACACGACTATAAGGACGATGTCGGGTGCCGTGTGTTGGCCACTTATTATCGAAACGTACAGACAAACGGAAGGCAGGAAGGAAGTTCGTGTAACGAGAAACGGATATTCACTTCACGGGAGTTAAGTGTTAAACGCCAACGCAAACAGGGACATACGTGCGGAATATCTTTGAAAAGGGCAAACAAAAGGGCCATAGCTTGAAGTGGTCATGTGCCGCGGCATAATTGATGGCACGTTTTAAGAATTAACACAGTGTTTTTTTCATTTGTAAACAAATAAATCGGAAGAAAATCGGTTACAAGCGAATTATATTAAAAAAGGGAAATTAAGTGAAAAAAAAATCAACAAAGGGAAACAAAAGTTAAATAATAAAAAATAGTGAAAATAAATTGAAAATTGTTCGAATTTTGAGGTTATCTTATCTCGATGTGTGATTTTCTGGAATAATTTACAACATACCTATCAATAGACCCCAACATAACAATGTTTTCAATACAAAAACAATAAATCATTCAAAACGGATATCATTGGCAGAGATAAGTGGAATTACCCTGCAGGTCCTTCAAAGTTTTTGGTGAAAAAATACAATCAACAACAATTGTTGTAGTTCAACACTTGTTGTTGTCTGGTGTCCCCTGAGTGTAATCAAAAGTCATCTGGAGCACGTGCCGCACACACGTTCCCAATACACCCGTTCGATATACGATTACAAGTGAAATTAATTAATAGTGTCAATATCATCGTCATCATCATAGAAAAAATAAAATCTGATTAAAATCTCATCATGTTCTCTTTGGATAATTTCGATTTGGAGGCAACTATGGCCCGTCACTTTTTTGAAGGCTCCCAGGCCACAAATGGTTCCTCATCATCGAGTTCGGAATTTTTCTTTGGCGATGATAATAGCACGGATACCGATGATGATGATGCCTATAGCAGCGGCTTCAACAGCGATCAGGAGAATACGGAGAAAACGTAAGTGCACGATATTTATAAAAAAGGATAATATGCCGGAAATTGAAAAAAAGATCCTTTACAAAATTATGGGTGAAAGGTCCTCAATATTTCATAGAAATTTCTGGTTCAAAGGTTTAAAATATGGTTTTAAGTTCTTGAAATAAAAATATTCCTAAAGATGTTAGGCTAACGGACTCTTAATGGGTTCTTAAAATAAAGGGTGAACTGTCCTCGGAACTCTCTATTAAATACAATTCTGTGCCTCGGGACTTTGGGGAAATATTCCGTACAAATTTAATGCTGAAAGGTATAAATGGGGTTTAGTTCTTAAAATTAAGATATCCCTATAGATGTCAGGTTAACGGACTCTTCATGGATTCTTAAAAAAATATCGTCTGGAAAATTAAGAAGGAAATGTCCTCGGACCCTGTTTTAAATAAAGAAATTCTGTCTCGGGGGCTTTAGGAAAATATTCCATACAAATTTTAGACCCATAGTTTTAAAAAAACAGTTTTAAGTCCTATAAATAAAAATTTCGTAAACATGCCAGGCTAACGCACCAATCTTATTCAGGTTCATGGATTCTTTGAAAAGTATTCCCTGCAAAAGTATGGGTGAAATGTCCTCGGAACTACCTATTACATAAAATTTTGTGCCGTGGGTCTTTGAGGAAATATTCCTTAAGATTTTTGAGTCCTTGAAATAATAATATTCCTAAACAGGACCTTTCTTTTTAAGGTTATTGGATCTTTAGAAAATTTCTATCTATATCTCTATATATATAAAAATTACGAGTATGTTCGTGATCGCTAAACTCAAAAACTACTGCACCGATTTTGGCCAAACTTTACTTACATGTTCTATGGGGCGTAACTCAAGAACTACTGCTCCGAATTCGACCAAACTTTATGTATGCTCTATTGGGTGTGAGGAGTGTTTCTGTGTAAAGTTTGTCCGACTGATTGCGCAATATTCTGCTTCAGAAATCGGTATTTGAAGAATAATTGCTGCCGATTTAGTGCACCTTTCATTCTTCTTCGAAATATAAATCTGCCATGAATTTACAACCAGAACCAGACTTGCAATGGAAACAAAATTTGAAGGCAAGGCAACGTTTGCCGGTTCAGCTAGAATTTTTATCAAATTCTCACAAAAATAACCATTGTAGGACATTAAAAAAATGTTTTGATTTTTTTTAATTTCACTAAAATTAATGTAAACAATAAAAACTCAAGATAGGCTGTGGAAGAAGGCCAACCCTTCCAAATATTCTTAAAATATGCTATCGAAAAACAAGGAAATGTCGCGGAAAATTTTTAAATTTTTTTGGGAAAAAATCTTTAAAAAACTATGAAATGTTGGTTGATAAATCCTGTAACAATATCCTTCAATTATATCACGCTTATAGGTCCTTGAAAAAAGAAATATCAGAATATTAGGACCATGGAATATTGTAAAATATATAAAACCAGTTACGTGACCGACCATATGTTATCCTACACAACTACCACAGAGATCTAAGTTTCTGCGGATCAATATTCCGAGCCTGCGTAGTATTGCGCAATATTAACTCTCTTCACCGATTATAAGTCAACAGCTTCTCTGCGGCATCTTTTCCGGATCATGTTTTTTCGAAGTTAACAAAAATATTGAATAAGATTAAACTTTTGTTATTTTACCCGAAAACATTGGTTCATTTGACCCGTTCATGACTGACATTCGAATTAGTAGTTCAGATCGACTTCTCCAGGAAAAGTTGTGATGTTCGCCTTATAATTGTGGCATCTAGAGCGACTAGAAAACAATAGCAGAATAAAGTTTTCGGTATATTTAATTCCTGATATATCATCTGATCATCATCGATAACCATATCCTGAACCTCATTCAAAATTCCCTAGCCATCAGCGCTACAGTTCCGCCCTCTAGTGTGGTAATGGTTATACTAAACAAAATCAGAATACATAGACCCCGGTAAAGTTTAAGTATAACTCCCACATCCGAGTACATACAACAATATAATTGGTATCGATTTTAAAGGGCAACCACACCTCTTGGATATACCACCAACTTTTCGGGTCTAGTCCTTCAGGAATAAAAATATATGCCTTAAAATACAAATTTTGTGATTTTTTACACAAAAGTCCGCCTCTATTTGGCCCGCTAAATATTGGCCGATCTTCAACAAACCATTCATGCTTATTCTTTGGCCAGATTCCCCTTCCTGGTGTAACATTTCGTGGTGTTCAGGTCATAAATGTGGCTTCTAGAGCGACCAGAAAAAAATTAGGTTGTTGGTCTTTTTCATCCCCTAAATATTAACAGATTCGGCTCTATTTGGCCCGCTAAATATTAACCGATCTTCAATAAAACAGTCAGATCATAATTGTGGCCTCTAGAGCGACCAGAAAAATAGACATAAATAAAGTTTTATGTCTATTCATCCCCAAAATATTAACTGATCATTACCAAAAATAATAGGGATCCTCTCTGGCCAGAACCCATCCTAAATGCAAAATTTCGTGACGATTGGTCCATAACGGACGGCCGGATACCAAAAATATCGAAAACGGTTGAGTACCTTTATATGGAGAGTTATCCTAAAAATTGGACCAGTATTGGACCATACCATCACCATGGCCGGCGCTTGAGTTTTGGTGGCCAATCGAAGGTGCACATTTTCAGCTGACCTCTTTGACAAGTAAACACGATCATTTTGTTTGTTGTTTACAAACTACTGGACAACGAATGTTTTCTCATCGGAGAAAACCAAATTCGGCAGTTCACCACTTTCGGCCAAGCGCAGCAACTCTTTAGCTTTTTTGGGTCTATTTTCTTTTTGTAGCGGTGTAAGTTCTTGCACTTTTTAGAATTTTAATGGCTTTGCCATGAACTCATTTTTCTATATTTGCCGAATGGAATATTGCGATTTGTTTTCGGCCACTGCGACGCGGGTTTCGATCATGTTGCTTATTTACTTTTCGAACCATTTCTACTGATGTTGCTTCTTTTCTGGAAAATTCTCACCAAAATGCTTTTGTACGCTTGTAAACAATATAATCAGCTGTCACTGGAATAATTTTGACAGCTGTCGGACGAGTGGCTTAGAAATGACAGCAGTCTGAAGTTGCTTGCAGTTTTTTTCATCTCACCCTGTATATACATTGTCGGGTCTTCGATGTATATTTCGAGGTGCTGCAAACGGAATGACAAAATACACTCCATCTTATGTCGTAGGGTATAACAAATACAAATTCATAAGTACTTGAGGAACAATTCGCAATACCGTACTGTAACATAGGTCCTTGAAAATATTAAAAAAAATCCTCTTTGGAGGTCCATCGTCTTCAATGAATTTAGGTTGATAAACTCATGTTAATAGAAAATATTCTAGTTCAATCTTAAAATAATTTAAATAAATCTGGATTCTGGAAAAAAATTACAATAGTGCAGACTGATAAGTTCTAGATCCTTAAAAATATTCTATAAAAAATCATTGATAAAAAAATCTATCATTGAAAAGAATAACCTTCTAAACATGCAGGTTGATATTCCCATTGACAAACGATAATGGATCCAATAATCATAATCTTTGGTGAATTCCTAAAGTCTTTGGAAAAACATTCATTACAAACCCTCCAAGACGATTGAAGCCCATTTTTAGAGCCACTTCAGTGGTATGACAGCAAATATACATTTACACAGGGGCTATGACAACACGGATACATAACATTAGAATGTTCTACGATGAGAATTTTCTTCTACTTTAAGACCCGAATGATACCTTCACATCGGTCTGAAAGCTCGGCTAGACCATTTAGAAACGAAGAAATTGGCGCAGACACAAACAATTCGATCGTTTATATAACTTTCTTCGATGGCGCCAAAAAATGACATTGCGAAGACCACTACTGGAACATTTTCACAGAGACAGAAAAAGTTCTCGAATATCATATTAGATTGGGATTAGGACTTTATTTAACATGCTTCGGAATGTCCGATTTGGGCCAAATATGCCCCGTTTTGTTGTATGATTTGTTGCCATTTTAAATGTAACTTCATAATGCCTCTCTCATAGAAGCCCTGCTCTCTATTTGCAAAAAAAATCTAGTTAATAGCAATTGTTAGTAATAATATTAGAAAATATGATTTAAATGTATTTTTAATAATAAAAAATTCCCTTCGTCTATTTTCAGCCGACCACACAAAATGCGACGCATGAAATGCGCTTCGCAGGTGGCGCAACAGCGTCAAGCAGCCAATTTGCGGGAACGTCGACGCATGCAATCGATCAATGAAGCATTTGAAGGTCTGAGATCGCATATACCCACATTGCCGTATGAAAAACGTCTCAGTAAAGTGGATACTTTGAAATTGGCCATAAGTTATATCACATTCCTTAGCGAAATGGTTAAAAAGGATAAAAATGGCAATGAACCGGGATTGACGCTGAAGCGAAAATATCAAAAGGAGCCACCAAAGAAGATAATTTTGAAAGATCGATGTAAGTATTTGTATTTGTTTTGTAAAAAAATGTACGCCTTCAATAGGTTTGGACTTAAAAAAAATAGTTTTTCGAACCTTCAATATGCCTGGATTATTTAAAGAATTATATTTTCAAAGCTTCAATAGATTCCGAATTCTTTAAAGATAATTTTTTCGAAGATCCAGGGCTATTGAAGGCGAGAACAATATTTTAAAAATCTGCACCTATTGAAAGTTCGAAAAAAATTTTTGTTGAAAAATATTCTTAAACATCATCGTCTTTTTGCTGATGGAGAAAAATAAAAAAAAATCAAATAACCCAAAAACCCGATCCCATATTTCTTCAACCACTTATCCCATTTGAGTTGGCATTTTTGAATAATATTCAATTACAATAAAATTTATTTCTGTTGTGACATTTCAAAATATATTTTTTTTTCGAAAAAAAAAATATTCAAATTGCTTACAAAATATGAGTTTTTCTTCCAAAAAAAAAAAATCCATTCACAATTGGAAACCCTTTTTGGGAAATCAGACCCCAAATTTAAATTATCTTCCATTGTTGTACCATAACGAATTACCACAAAGTTCGGGTGTTTCAAAATAAATTGAACGATCGATCTTCGTGCAGTCAGCTTTCCATTCGTTTTGAATAGAAAAATTATTAACCAAAAGACCATGACGAAATTTGTGGAAATACATTTTCATTTCAGTTTTAGTGCCGTTTGGCTACCGGGCCATAAGCGATTTTCGTATCTGGCGAAATTTCTTTCGACTGCAACAAATTGTCGGAAATATAAATTGTCTGTGTGGTAATCCGGATAGGTATGCTTCTCCATAAGTGTGAAAATTCTAATTAGTTACAGACGGATGTTTTTTCCGTTCATCCTCATCACCATCCATGAATGAAGAAATAGAGGGGCGAGGAGACGAGCGAAATCGGGTGGTTGGACTATTTGCAATCACCATCGTCATCGTCACGAATGTGGTTCGCCCGCTGATGATTACCCCTTGGTGATGATCAACAACTAAGGATGATTTTGTTGTTGTTGTTTTGGTGCATTACTCTCTCTACCACCCTTAAATGTTTGTGGTTTTCATAACTATCCAACACAAAACATTTAAGATAACCATCTTCATCACGATATCGAAATGTCTGTCCACACAAATTTTGTGTCTCCATGGCCACAACCATATGTTTTGGGTATTCATTACAAAAACCCCTGACATTGATTGAATATCAAAATATTACCAAAGTACACATCGATGATGATGATTGCGTGATTTTGCACAAAACATTTCAATATTCTCTATTCAGAGAGAACAAATTGATTTGAATATTTTGAGAAGATCGTTTATCGGGATATTTGGAATTTTTGATTAGATTATTGTTTTATATGGAGGGACATAGAAATATGGAGGTGGTACGTTAGCCGATTAGCCTATCAACAAGATCAGTGCAGCTGCTGTGGGCGTAATTTACTTTACGTTCGGAAGTTTGGAGGTTAAATTTTGCCAAAAACAAATAAATAAATATGTTTCGAGATCTCGGTACTATGAGCGATTCGGGGTACTATGAGCGCAAAGACAGGCTCATGAGACAATATATGACAAAGGACAAGTAGACCTTCCTAACTAAGTGTAAAAACTGAATCATATTAAGGTATAGTTACCATATACACGATTCATCCGATTTTATGCAGAAATTCCGTCGGCTTATACGAATCTCCAAATGTGATTCAAATCAATTCGTACTTGATTCCGTAAATAGTGTAGATTAGAGGAGCTTCAGAAGGTTGTAAGACTACCGAATACCCCTTAAATGTCTTCTACGTATTCGGGAACATGTAGATATTACGGAAAAGGCTCTTCAGAAAATTCGAACTCTAATTGCCCTTTTTATAAGGCTTTATGATTATGGACTAATTCTAAATCCCTGACATCTTTCTTGTATCTGGAAATAACCCCTTTGAGAATTTGTCCTTTTTTCGGAATGATTCTGATTATAAACAACCTCGTGGAACTTATAGTGACTATATATTTTCTCTCTTAAAAATTAATTTCTTATTATCCAATTCCGATCCTCCTAGTGTCGTTTTTTTTTTTTTTGTGGGGCTCCTGAGCATTAGGAGAACATGAAGAGTTTTCATTATTGTTATATAAAAAAACGTGCAATGCGGGGACCATGGGTTAAAACGATTTAATTGTTAATTATTGTATCACTGAAATAGTTGGGGCAAAAACATCACATTTTATCGAACTATTATTTTTTACCGAGCTATGGCTGCATTTAAATTTTGACGTCATGACAATAATTAATGATTCGATTCCGGCTATAAATCCTTTAAATCAGTTTTTGGTTGCTGTGGACAGAGTTCAACCTTCTTTTTGTAAAATAAACAAAAACCAGTGAGCGAAGCAGTATAGTCGGACGGCGCCGACCATACGATACAACTACACAACTTCCACGGAACTCTAACATTCTGCGGATTTTTATTCCGAGCCTGGGCAATATTTCGTGATAGTTGTACCCTCTTGCCCGCTTAGAGGTCAACAGCAAATCTTCCTTACACTGACATATTTTTATTACTTGTACATATTCCCTTCACCGTGGCTTGTGTTTCGTTGTTCGGCTTATAATTGTGGCCTATAGATCGACTTGAAAAATGTAACACAAACAAATTAAGTTTTCGGTCCACTTCATCCCAATATTATTATCTGATCCTCACCGAAAATTAGAGGTGTTGTCCTTGACCATACCTGGATCCTCATGGTAAATTTCAAAGCTAACAGCGCTATATTTCCGTCCTCTAGTGTGGTAATGGTTTACTAAATAATACATACAACAATATAATTGATATCAACTTAAAGGTCCATCCTGAGTCAAAATCAAATTTATTATACCCTACACAACTATGTTGTCACTGTATTATAGCTTTGTGCAGCTCCAAGAGTTTGTAACGCCGCGAAATATTGGTCCTAGACCCACGTTTAAATATACCGATCGTCTCGACTAACAGAGTCGATCTAGACATGTGTGTCCGTCCGTCTGTCCATTATAATTTGTAAACACAATACAGGCCACAGTTATGGACCAATCTTCACGAAATTTTGCATGTAGGATGGGTTCTGGCCAATGAAGACCCCTATTGTTTTTGGTAAGGATAAAATATTTAGAGGGTGGATGGACCAAAAACTTTATTTTTGCCTGATTTTGTGGTTGCTCCAGAGGCCGCAATATCGCGAGTTTTTATAAAGATCGGTCAATATTTAGCGGGTCAAATGGACCATGATTAGGCTACACAATTGAAGGCCGAATATGACACCACAACCCACAGTGAAGGGAGTCTGTACTGAATCTATACTAATAAAAGAGTAAAGTGATTGATTTAACGATTCATCAACGTCCAGACTAAACGGCTGAAGCTAGAATCTTGAAATTTCGGGTGAGGGTCACTCTTGGTCCAAAGGTAACTGATAAGGCTGTGTTTTTGGAAATTCGTACTAGAACGGTACGAAAAGTACTAAAAAGTACTTAATGTGATACCATTTGTATTTGGCGAACCAGTAGAGCTTGAACTCTGAAATTTGGATTGAGGGGCATTCATGGAGTGCAGAATAGCAAAGGGATTTTTGGAAATTGGAACTATAACTATCCGAAAAGTACGAAAATGTACTAAATTTGGTACAATTCTGTAGCGCTAAAAACTTTAAATTTGGAGTGTGAATTATGGTTGAGAAGTAGGGTCATTTAAGGATATGGTTTTGAAAGCGTGTACTCATGTGTACGAAAAGTACTATATGGTACTATATTTGGTACAAATTTAATTTGGAGATACAGTCGACTTTTCGATCTTTCGATTTTGTCAAATAGATTTTCGACTTTAACTGACTTCTGCAAAATCGACTAAAAATTTGATTTTTTATATAAATTATTGTGAATAGATAATGTAAAGTTCCGGAAAGTACAATTTTTGGCCAAGTATTTATGAAGAAAATCGAAAGTCGATCTTGAAATGTCGACTTTACGATTATCTCATAGATCAAAAGTCGACTTCGACTTTTAGACTTTACAAAACAAAAAGTCGATTAATCGATTAGTCGAAAGTGTTCACTTATGTGTACAAAAAATACTAAATCGTACTATAATTGGTACAATTTGGATTTGAGTGAACCGATAGAGTTGGAAGAATGAAATTTGGTGTTAGGATCATTGTAGGGATGTAGGATTAGGTTCAGGATTCAATTTAAAAAAATAATACTTATGGGTACTAAATGGTACTAAATTTGGTACAATTTGAATTTTAGGTGAACCAATAGTACTAGAATCATGAAATTTGGAGTCAGGATAACTGTTAAGGTGTAAGATTGAAATATGTAGGAAGTTTTAGAAATTTGTACTAATGTGTACTAAATTTGTTACAATTTTAATTGCGGGTGCACTAATAGAGTTGGAATCCTGAAACTTTGATTTGGGATGAGTACTACTGTGTACTAAATATGGTACAATTTAAATTGTGGTTGAACCAATAGAGTTGGAATCCTGAAACTTGGATTTGGAATCATTGTAGGGGTTGGGGTATTTAGGAAGTTTTGGAAATTCGTACTACTGTGTACTAAAGTTGGTACAATTTAAATTGTGGATGAACCAATAGAGTTGTAATCCTGCAATTTGAATTTGGAATTATTGTGGGGGTGTAGGATCGGGGTATGCATGAAGTTTTTTTGGATGGTTGAAGAGGGTACTTATGGAAATAATAAGTGCTAAATGGGAAAATTTGGATTTGGATGAACCTGTAGAACTCGAATCATGAAATTTGGTACTAAATGCTACTCAAATTTAATTTATGGTCGATATTAATGTGTGGATTGTTAATGTAGTTTGCTGTGAAAATAAAATAATATGTTAATACATCTTTAAATATTTCCTACATTCGCTAACGAAGTTGCGCGCATATACTAGTATTAGTAATAGTTGTTGACCTCTAGTTTATCAAGAGGGTCGCAAAGCATTGCCATCTTACTAGATTGTAGCACTTTGGATCTTCTAATTTTTGTCCAAAAATTCCACACCCATTTTTCTAAAATTATTTCATATTTCTCAAAGAATCCTACCACCAATTTTCTAAAAATATTCTTTAAAAAATACGCCATTTTTTTCTAAAAAATTTTCTTTAAAAAAAACCAGTCATATTTTTTATTGTAAAAATATTCTTCTATTTTTTATACCCTACACAACATGTTGTGTGGGTATTATAGCTTTGTGCAGCCCCAAAAGTTTGTAATGCAGCGAAATATTGGTCCTAGACCCACTTTTATGTATACCGATCGTCATATCTCGATTAGCTGAGTCAATCTAGACATGTGTGTCTGTTCGCCCGTCTGTCCATTATAATTTGTAAGCACAATACAGGCCACAGTTATGGACCAATCTTCACGAAATTTTGCATGTAGGATGGGTTCTGGCCAATGAAGACCCCTTTTGTTTTTGTTAAAGATCGGTTAATATTTATGGGATGAAATGGACCAAAAACTTTATTTTTGTCTGATTTTCTGGTCACTCCAGAGGCCGCAATTATGTTCCAAATATGGCGAATTTTTACATGGAGAAGGGGATCGGTCCAAACAATAAGCATGCCTGTTTTGATAAAGATCGGTCAATATTTAATGGGTCAAAACAAAAAAAAAATTACCAAATTTGTATTTTATAGCGTATATATTTATCCCTGAAGGACATGGACCCCAGAAGTTGATAGTATATCCAAGAGGCGTGGTTAACCTTTAAATTGATACCAATTATATTGTCGTATGTATTTAAAGGTGCTTACGTATTCCTATATTATTTAGTAACCCATTCCCACACTAGAGGGCGGAAATATAGCGCTGATCGCTTTGAAAATTGCCATGAGATTCCAGGTATGGACAAGGACAACGGCTATAATTTTCGGTAATGATCAGATACTAATTTTGGGATGAAGTGGACTGAAAACATAATTTTTTGGTGATTTTTTTTCGAGTCGATCTATAGGCCACAACTGAAAGTCGAACATCGAACAACGCAACTCACGGTGAAGTTAATCTGGAGAAGTAATTAGAAGAGCTTTACTAAATATTAATTAGTAATATTTGTTGATATCAAGAGGGTGCAAATATCGGTCAAGAGGGTGCAAATATCGCGAAATATTGCCCAAACTCCGAATATAGAACTACAGAGAGTTATATTTTCGTGGAAGTTGTGTAGGGTATCATATGCTCGGCCCCGTCCGACTATACTGCTCTGCTCACTGGTTTATTGTAAAACCAGTGAGCGAAGCAGTATAGTCGGACGGGGCCGACCATACGATACCCTACACAACTACCACGGAACTCAAATTTTCTGCGGATGTTTATTCCGAGCCTGGGCAATATTTCGTGATATTGGCATCCTCTTGCCCGATTATATCCTCACACTGACATATTTTCCGAATATTACGAGTATTCAGTACAGCTTTTGTCCAGATTCGCTTCACCGTGGGTTGTGTTGTGATGATCGGCTTTCATTTGTGGTCTATAAATCGACTCGAAAAAAACACAAAAAATTAAGTTTTCGGTCCACTTCATTCCAAAAGTATTATCTGACCATCACCGAAAATTATAGGCGTTGTCCTTGACTATAACTGGAACCTTATGGAACATTTCAAAGCGATCAGCGCTATAGTTCCGCGCTCTAGAGTGATAATGGGTTACTAAATAATATACGGATACGGAGATGCCTGTAAATATTTAGGTGTAACTCCCACATCCGAGCACATACAACAATATAATTGGTATTAATTTAAAGGTCAACCACTCCTCTTGGATATAATATAGACTTCTCGGGTCTATGTCCTTCAGGGGTAAATATATACGCTATAGAATACAAATTTTGCCATTTTTCACACAAAAGTCAGGGTCTATTTGACCCGCTAAATATTGACCATTCTTTATCAAAACAGGCACGTTTATTCTTTGGCCCGATCCCTTTCTCCATGCAAAATTTCATTACGTTCGGGCCATTATTGCGGCCTCTGGAGCGACCCGAAAAACCGACAAAAATTTAGTATTTGGTCCATTTCATCCCCTAAATATTAACCGATCTTTCCCAAAAACAATAGGGGTCTTCATTGGCCAGAACCCATCCTACATGCAAAATTTCGTGAAGATTGGTCCTTTACTGTGGCCTGTATCGTGTTTACAAATTATAATGGACAGACGGACGGACGGACACACATGTCTAGATCAACTCAGCTAGTTGAGATATGACGATCGGTATACTTAAAGGTGGGTCTAGGACTAATATTTCGCGGCGTTACAAACTTTTAAGGCTGCACAAAGCTATAATACCCTGACAACATAGTTGTGTAGGGTATAAATATTCTTCAAAAAGTTCACTTCCATTTCTTAAAAAAATTACTCTTATTTTAGGTCTTGAAAAAATATTTTTAAGAAATCCAGGCCTATCTTTTTAAAAAAATATCCACGCTTAATTTTTATAAAAAAAAATCAAAAAATCTTCTCCATTTCCTTTTCGTAAATTTCCACGTGTCTTTTGCAAAAAAAGTTCAACCTTCAAATGTTTCGAACGTCATTCCGCCATGTCAGGTAATAATATATTACAAATATGTATTGTACGAATATGGCATCTAGATAATTACCATGTGAGAAAATTTTCAGCTGCTCACAAAACCCCCCTCCCCCTAACAAAAAGAAAAACGACAAAACAAAATGACAATAATGTCAGGTTACTACAACCTCAGGATAGATAGGCGAAAGCTTTGCTCTGGTTTTCCTCAATGGAAAAAATGTAACAAAAACCCAATATTTTTTTTGGAGGGTTGAGGTGGGAAGTTGGTGTGGGTAGTGGGAGTTATTGATGTTAATACACGCAACATTGTCTCCACCTCCTCCTCCTCACAATTCCCCCTTGTTTTTATTTTTTTCCTTTTTGTTTCGTTTTCGTTGAATGAAAATGTATTTTCAGTTTATAATCCTTGTCAAAGGACATAGATTCCGCACAACTGGCAATTGTTCACACCAACTTGCAACACTTGAAATTTTGTGTGTGACAACCAAATGTCTGAACATGATGGTTACATGCGGAAACACATCCCTGAAAAATAGCATCAAATTGTAATGCTAATTTCGCAGCAACAACAACACCCCCTCCCCCAAATTTTCCCATTTCTCTCCTAATAAAGCTCTTGAGTACAAGTTTCCGTTCTGAAATTATTTGCGCTCCAGAAGAGGTGGCCACAAAAATGTTTCACACCCGCATAAATTCGTCTACCTTCATCATCGCAACAAATTGCCGGGGCAGGAACAAAATAAACAAGTGCAAGGGGAAGTAGAGAGTGCCAACACCCTTCAAAAATGTGTTATCCATTTCTGATTGGAAGATTCACAGCTGATGGGTGGTTGGTTGGTTGGCAGAACATATCCCTTGGCTTCCGAAAATGTTTGTGTTTGTGCGGCAGACAATTAAATCCCTGCACAGCATGCAGCTGCAACAATAAGGGCTTTTGTTTGCATTACAAACCCACCCCTTTTCCTTGCTCATCCTTCGGTTTGTTGGCGAAAATCTCCGACACTTTAAACGTCAGTCATTTTGGCCACTAATGGCATTGTAATGTAGACACTAATGTTTTCTCAAGTGTTTTCAAATTAAATAAAACTGCAAACAAGACAACAAAAACAACAACAACTCGAGAAAAAAATCCTCCCTGTAAATAGCTAGGGAGACAGACAGGCAAAAATAACAGGGTTGAGATGGGACCTTTAAGTCTCCGTTTTTTAATTTCCAAAATTGACACTTTTTTTAAATTTTTTAATCCTTTCTTCCTTTTTAACTTTTCAAAACGGCTTAACTCCAAAACCTTAATTAAAAAAAATCTAATAATATCCTTTCTCTGTCTTTCCACAGCCGGCGGCATGGCCCATTCTTTATCGTGGTATCGTCGTGGCGATCGTTATCCTGGCAGCAAATTATATGCCCGCACCTGGACACCAGAAGATCCCAGATCGCATATAACCCATTCGGTGGCCCATCATCTACAGCAGCAACAACAACAACAGCAGCATCAGCAACAACAACTCTCCCAACAGCAGCAGCAACAACAACAATCTCAAACCTCTCCATCACAATCATCACATCATCGCTACAGTTCACCAACATCTTGTAGCTCCCCGTCGGAAACATCTTCGCTAAACGATACCCAGAGTACGATACGAAGTTGCCATGAACTCTTTAATGAAATGCAACAACAACAAAATGGTTTGGAAATCTAAAAACTTTGAGGGATTTTGATGGAAAATTAATTTAGAAAAAAAAAATTGGGAATAAAAAAAAATATGGGAAAATGGGATTTGGCGAGAAGGGAAGTTTTTGAAAATTTCATAGTTTTCTCAGGACGTAATCGGATTTTCCAGGTTATCATATTTCTGGGAATTCATTGATGCCATTCAAAAATTATTCGAACATGATTAGACTAATCAGCATCTGAGGCGATTTTTTTCATTCAAAGTCATGGTCCTGTTTACGCCTTAAGAAAATTGGGAGTAAGAAAAAGTATCCAAATTCCGCAGGAATCCAGAATATCAAAAAGGAAAAATAGGAAAATTGCAGTTTGGGTAAAGAGCAGTTCTTGTAATGCTTTATAATATCTCAGGAGGTAAACAGGCCTATAGGGATATAAAAATTCTGAGAATTACTTCTTTCTTTGAAAGTAATTAACCCTATTCGATCTAACAGCTCCTGATGATGGTCCTAATACGAATTAAAAAAATTTTAATTGTATTTGACCTATCAACTCTTGAGACCATTTTTTTTCTTTTAAATTCGTGGTCCTGTTGGCCACAAATGCAAAAAAACCAGTTGGACCCTCCAGATACTGGGAACTTATTATACTATATGTGCGATAAATTCCCAGGAAACTTATTACACAGATAGTTCCTTATTCTATAATGAAACCCTGAACTATAGAAAATTCCCTCCAGACGTTCCTGCAGTTGATTTTTCCAGCTGGTCCTGCATGTGATATTTTACTGTTCATGATTTTTGAAAATTATGTCCTATTTCCTCAGTGTTATCTAGATAAGCTCTTGAAAAAATTATATCCCTGGAACTGGACACTCTGTTATATAAGAAGTGGTTACTCTGATATTAATTCTATGCGGAACCCTAGGCAATAAGAATTTACCTGCATAATAGACACAGCTCGTCAGGGTTATCTAGAAAAGCTTTTATATTCCCTTAACATTTTTAAGTGATGGTTCTATAGACGTCTTGAAAAAATTATTACACATGGGACTGGTCACTCCGATATCCCTGGGATTTGTCGATCTAATATTTATTCTTTGCAGAAACCTAGGCCATAAGAATTTACTTCATAATTGATGAAGCCGATCTTGAAGGTGATTTTCCAGAATCGTTACACAAAGAAGACCCAAAATGTGGTATTTTTTATATATACCAGAGGATAGACCTTGCTCGTTCCGTTCAAGTATTACGTAAGCAGATTTATTGCAATTATTTATTCCCTCCTTCCCCTTGTCATCAAAAGTAAGCATATCTCTTCGCCAAATCTTCACCCATGTCATCAAAAAAGGAAAGCGAATACCCCCACCCCCTATAGTGCTTACCTAATACTTGAACGGCCCCATATAACTGTTGAAGCCTTATAGAAGTAATGTCCCCTGGGATGGGTGACTCTGATATTTATTATATGCGGAACCCTAGGCAATAATAATAAATAATAAATTGCCTACATAATTGACAATGCATGTGATTTCTCCAGGGATATCTACATAAGCTCTTCAATCCCCTATATTTTTTTAAGTGATGGTTCTATAGATGCCTTGAGAAAATTATATCTCTGTGACTGGCCACTCTGAAATTACTAAGAACTGGTCACTGTGATAATTCTTCTAACCGGTATCCTAAACCATAAAAAATTCCCTTCATAACTTACACAGCGCGTCCTGCAGGGGATTTCTTTACCGTTATCTAGATAGGCTCCTCTGTTTCATTAAATTTTTAAGTGATGGTCCTATAGACGCTTCGAAAAAAATTAATACACCAGGAACAGGTCACTCTGGTATACCTGGGACTGGTTGCTCTAATATTTATTTTTTACGAATTTCCCTCCAACAATTGACCAAGCTAGACCTACAGGATATACAGAAGTCCTTTAATTTTTCGACACACGTAGAAGTTGTAAGACTTCATTCTGAAAATGGTCTATATATAACTCCCGAACACCAAAAAGTGTATCTGTAGGCAGATCTCTATCATAAGGAGCAGGATGGATTTAAATTTTTTAAATACATCTTCATAAGATTTATATTTCCAACATGTGTCCTTTCAGAATATTATATAATTTCCCTCCATAAAAGACACATATGGTCCTGCAGAACTTCTCTATACACAGATTTTTTTTTTTTTTTTTTTGCAACCATACATCACCTGATTGTGGTCTTTCATAATGGTTCGTCCTGATAATGGATCTGAAACATAGGAGGGAGGTTCGAATGTTGGAAATTAATATTCCATAATATTTATAACCCAAAGAAGAGTCCTTCCTAGATATAATTTTCCTCCATAATGGATACAGACCTGCAGGTAATTATTCCAGGTTAACATAAGCTCCTCTATCTACAGAAGCCCCTAAGTTTTTCTTTGTGCTCCCGAAGAAAACCTAAATATGCTCATTTTTATTTCAGAGGATATCCTCATCAGGTCCTGAAAACGTGAAGTTCAAAATTTTATAAAATTGACTAGATCTGCCCCGATGGTAATTTTTCATGTGTTCTCTATATCAGTTTTCCTATACTCAGAAGTCCTTTATTTTTATTACATATAATTTTTTTTTTTTCAACCCCTACAAGACCTCAATGTGGTCTCTTTTATGTGTTGTATATGGCAGAGGATAAACTTCCTTCCGGGATTAGTCGATTTTTTTATTTTACCTTTTAATCCTCTCGAGCTTGTCGTTGTTTTTGTAACTTCTCATGTAAGGTTATATTGTTTTAATTCATAGGTTGTTCTTCGGGGCCAGATTATTTTCTTGACCAATCTCGATTTCGTAGTCTCTTGGGGATACCTTTCAAGCGCCATTCTACCTTTCAAAAAAATATCGAACCTGCCTCTGCCTATCACTTTCAGTGATCTTCTATCTCTTATAGATTGCAAATCTGGCTGAGAAAAACATCATTCATCCTTAAGGGTCCTGGGTTTATTTCTGTATACACTAGAGCCTCGACTTGCATCGGAAATCGAATCAAATCACATTTTTCTTTACAAAATGTCCTGACATTGGCACCAACTCTAATCAAAAATTTTTGTTTATTTTTTATAATACGAATAAAACGTGACGACGCAATTCGAGGCTCTAGTGCAAATCCTAAAGAGTGATATTCTCTCGATAGAAGACCTTAGAAAACCTCTTCTATACATAGAAAACTACTATTAAACTATTATTAGAGCAGAAAATGTTCTGAGAATAAGTTGTTGTGTATGGAGCCGGAATGTCAAAATGCAAACATGTAGTAATTTCGGAAAATACGTCTAGGACCTTCAAAATGTATATAAAGAGGCGAGACCATTATATGGGCACTATACACAAAGAGTGACCGATATTTATTATTTTCGGTGGGAAGATTTTGGACTCATTGAAATCTCAAAATATTGAATTAGATCCAAATTAGTCGGAAAACATGTTAGAAATGTCCAAAACACTGAATATTTGGTAGGGAGCCCAAAATCTGCAAAATATAGAAAACTATTGTTATACCCTACACAACTATGTTGTCAGGGTATTATGCAGCCCCCAAGAGTTTGTAACGCCGCGAAATATTGGTCCTTTAAGTATACCGATCATATCTCGACCAGCTGAGTCCATCTAGACTTGTGTGTCCGTCCGTCCTTCTGTCCATTGTAATTTGTAAACACGATACAGGCCACAGTTATGGACCAATCTTCACGAAATTTTGCATGTAGGATAGGTTCGGGCCAATGAAGACCCCTATTGTTTTTCCTAAAGATCGCTTAATATTTAGGGTATGGAATGGACCAAAAACTTTATTTTTGTCTGATATTCTGGTCGCTCCAGAGGCCGCATTCATGGCCCAAACATCTCGAATTTTTACATGGAGAAGGGGATATGCATGCATTTACAACATTTTTATTCTGGGGCGTAAATACTCGCTCATGAAGGACATATACCCGAAAAGTTGATAGTGTATCCAAGAGGAGTTGCTGACCTTCAAATTGATACCAATTATGTGGGAGTTACACATAATTAGGTATTACATACATATTACTCCATTAGAGGACAGAAATGTCGCGCTGAACGCTTTGAAATTGTACATGAAGTTCCGATTATGGTTAAGGATGACGCCTATAGTTTTCGGTGAAGTTGAGATTTTTTTCGGGGGTACAATGAACCCAAAAATTTTATTTTGTCAGATTTTCTAATCGCTCTAGAGACAATTATTATATGCCGAACACATCACTTATTTTACAAGGTGAGGGGGATTCACCAAACACTTAGAACGGCTGTTTAGATGATGATCGGTCAATATTCCGAGGGTCAAATCAACCAAAACATAAAGCGACCAATTTTTTATTTTACGGCGTAAACATTCACTTCAAGAAGAAAAAAAATGGAAAACAGTGGAGTTGTTGATTCATAATCGGTAAAAATATTGCCTAGGCTCAGAATATAGAACCGCAGAAAGTTTGCTTTTCGTGGTAGTTGTGTAGGGTATCATATGGTCGGCCCCGTCCGACTATACTGCTCCGCTCACTGGTTTATATATAAAATATTTTTTAAAAGCGCATTTTTTGGCTGATTCCGCAGATTATTTTTTATACCCTTCACCACACTGTGGTACAGGGTATTATGTCTTTGTGCATATGTTTGTAACAGGCAAAAATAATCGAGATAGACCCATGGTTCCTTTTGAGAATATGCATAGAATCACTTTCTGAATCGATTTATGCATGTCCGTCCGTCTGTCCGTCTGTTGGTGTTAAATTGTAAACAAAGTACAGGTCGCATTTATGATCCGATTTGGATGAAATTTGGCACTGCTCATTTGTTTGGCCCAAGGACGAACCCTATTGAAATTGGGAAAAATCGGTTCAGATTTAGATATAGCTCCCATATATATTTTTGCCCGATTTACGGACTTTAGACCCTGAAAATCTTTCGATTTGCACGAAATTTGGCATAGCGTACTGAATTGAGCCACGAAAGATGTGTGCCAAGTTTCGTGAAAATCGGTTC